CGGATTTGAATCCAGCTTGTGATCAGAGTTGGAGAACATGGTCTGTCGAAACCCTCAACGAAATTTGGAGAGCCTCAAAAACCATTGGTTCAGAAGCTGTGTTCTTTGGTTCATTTGAGGTCTTGTGTAAAGGATAACATTGTACATCGTTCACATAATCTAGGCATTATAAAATAAAACTAACTTTATTAAATATTGTAGTTTCATTTTTAAGACGATCTGAACTTTTAACTAAAGTGTTGACAGAACTAAGTAAATAATGACAGGGTAGTTACATATACTATTTATAATGACGAGACCGACTTTTATTATCTCTGATTTCTTAAATGTTCACTTAAAAGTAAACCAGAAATAATAGCAAATATTTGAAYCGAAAATTAGAATTAGAAAAAGTTGTGCTAACTTCCAGAACGGATAAGATTTGTTAAAGTTATTTTCAGAAATTATGAAAATTCTAAAGAATTTACTTACGTATTTACTTATACGAGTACTGGAAGTCATATAATTAAGTTGTTTCATGAGTACTTTTTGACTTATGTTCGATATTTTCATAATTGGTATTTTTTTAAACGAGTGCGATGAACGAATAATGAGAACGCCAATATACAAAATTATCATATTGGTGTGATGATAATCCACAAGCTATTGTTGGGATGCCGACGTCCCCAAAAAGCCACTGTTTGCGGAGCTCTATAGCAGAAGAAATCATTGATCCGAAWTTCTTCAAAAATGAAGCGACCATATAGTAACGTTGTAGCCAATGGGATTTTAAATTGAGTGTTGGGGAAATAGGCATGGTTCTAATCTCATTTCGCTCAATTATCCAGCACATTTATCCAAAAAAAATTATTACAAACTTATAGTTAGAAACACTAAATAATAACTACTSTTCTTCAACAGGGTTACATGACCGGTTTAAGCATGAACTCGGCAAAGAGCTTAGCTGGAGCTCTCTTCAACTGGTATTGGTCGAACAACTGGATATATCATGTAACAACGTATCCTGCAGCAATTCTCATGTCACTCGTGCACAAATTTTTACTTAACGAAGGTTCGAAATCTGCCGAAGAGTAAACAACTCTGATATTGAAATTACTGCCGTATAAACTCATAATTTTTTGCTTTGAATATCGAGTGGAAAATTCATCAGTTTATTTGTTTTTTTTTTTTTTATGTAACTCACAATAATATTCAAACGGTCAAATATATAATTATATACTTATATTAATATAGACATTTTCTCTTCAAATTTGGTGTATTATACTAAGTGGCATCGTAAAATGAAATTCGATAGGCATTTGTTCATGGTGTGTGTCAGCGAATTCATCGGCACCGCAATTCTCATGTGTGTCGGCTGTGCGTCTGTGGTGGGCATTACATTATCATTTTATGAACGAAATTTGTCAATGATCGGAATTGGCTTTGGACTGGCCGTGCACATTTCCGTGCATACACTCGGCACGATTTCCGGCTCACACATCAATCCGAGCGTCACCATTGCGGCCGTCATGCTTGGCAATATGGAGTGGCAATTGGGTTGCTTTTATGTATTGTGTCAGTTTCTGGGCGGWCTCACCGGTTATGCACTGCTTTTCGCGTCCCTTACGGCATATGTACGCACCGACAGCTTCTGCGTCACTAAGCCGGTACTTGGTATCGAAATATGGCAGGCAATATTAATTGAGTTCTTCTTAACATGCATACTTGTGTATTTTTGTTGTGGCGCCTGGGATAAACGCAATTCACAGGTGCATGATTCATTACCTATACGCTTTGGTTTGTTGATTGGCGGTCTTATTTTTGCGGCGGTAAGTTTCARAACAATAATGATGAAAGCACTGAAGGAATCTTTCTTTTAATAGGCACCTTATACMGGCGCCAGCATGAACGTGGCACGCTCCCTACCACCGGCCGTTTTAACAAATACTTGGACGGGATTTTGGATATACCCCGTTGCACATGTGCCAGCTGCAATTTTGGTTCCGTTAGCTTGGAAATATTTACATACARCCGGCTCCTCCGACGCTGGTGGCACTGAAGGAGAGGCATAACTATCAAATAAATCGAATTCTACAGTCGCAAGACTTACGACGGTTTGAGACTAACAAATTTTAATAACARTTTTTAAATAAAATTATAATTGTTAACGGCTAGCCGGCTAAACATATTTTTCTCCAAACACACACCTAGTATCCTGAGCAGTGCGAAATCATAAGTTGSCTTTGTTGAGTTTACCACACTTATAATGTACCTTAGATTCCTTTCATTGTGAGGCACACCTGACTTCTTAACTGTAGGATATTTTCAGCGATACACTCTAGAGCACTGGACGTATCTGAGAATAATTTGTATGAAAGTATGTGAACTGCACACTTGCTTCGAGCATATACAAGACTTAACTCATTATAGTTTAATTCATATACATACATACATACTATACATCGTAAGTATTCTTCTTGATCGGTCCTTTGAACGCTSAACTAATTAACGAACCGCACAAAGYCATGTCTGTACAAAACTGTTAAAGTTTTGAATCCAGACTGTCTTCTAAAGTGAGTGGCTAACGTTTTCTTTGATTTAAGAGCAAAATGATGTGAACGGATTGAAAGTGTTCAGCAGAAGTATTGGCAAGAGAGTACCATTTGTTTTAAAGGTTGAGATTGTTTCTAAACTTTTAAGTTATATCCTATAATGAAAAATATTCAAAGATTAAAGAGCGGCCCTGTTTCAATACTCGCAGATATATAAGTCTTCACAGATTCTATACTCAGATGTGATAACAGAAAGGAGTATAATTAATCATACGTTGACGATTCTTTCTTTTTCCAGATTTGCCGAATTGTAAAAATCTAGTCTTTCGCAACAAAGTCAAAATTTTTTGTAATTAATTTCCAAGAGAGTCCTCGATGTCCCAAAGGTAAGGTGAATATCCGAAGACTCAYTAATGGTTTTTAAGAGGCGCAATTTGGCACAAGCAGACCTCTTWTATGTACATTCTGCACCACTCTGTGCTCCTTRAAAACTTCATAAATTCGAAAAGTTKTATATGTGCAACTTCTGGGGTATCGCAAACCCTTGATCGATAGTTGCTATTCTTTTCCCATTCAAAGCCTTGCATTYACATAGATTCCATCGACCCACAAACCACGCTAAACCGTTGGTTTCTCTAGATGAAATGGCAGCTCTTCCATCTCTTCATGTTGCTCTTCGTCTCAAATTCGACGATTTTGCTTGTTCATATACCCATTGAGCCAGAAATGGGTCAGGAGTGCACAGCGWAATCGCTGGGCTCCTTTTCCTCAATTTCTTCCGATTTAGTCGAATCGATTCTCCAATGGCTGCTTATATTCWGACGTTAAATCTTTGGACCTCCAGTGAGCTCAGCAAGCGCTGGTCAATCACCGAACTACTTGCTTTTAATCAAGTCAATCTCTCCACAATTATTGGTGTTCTGACTGCCACCGTGTCCAATGGATTTACATTCTGCCCGACTCTCTTTGYAAAGCTGTATGGAGAAAGACGGGATGGAATCATCTTGCTACTGAGATGCCACACTGAGATTGAAATACCTCGATAGACCCACCTTTCACGAGCCTAGCTAAGCTGCTGAGATTGATTTTAATCGCCTTAAATTTAAAATTATTAAAAAATTTTTTTTTATTTAAAATTTTAATAAATTTGTGGATAKCACAAAGAACAAATTTCTGTCGAGGTGAGATTCATCGATTTTGGATCAATCCCACGGCCTGAGGGTTATATACGAGTATAATACGAGTATAATTAAGTGACACACTATTTTAACCGCAAAACCGTTCATTTTTGCAAATTAAAAAAAAAAACTGCAGTATCGATTATATTGAAGTTTTCAGAAAATTCTTCTCTAAAGGGGAGTTTTTTTTAATTTCCTTCCCGTTAAATTATACCCCACATAATATCGATGACAAATTGAGTTGCATGCCACATACTTCTTCCCATACCTCTCGCTGCGCTCTTAAAAGAGAACGCATATCATAGATATCATTATCATATCATATGATATATGTATGTACAGAGAACGTTTATCATAGAGAAGGTTCACGGCGCGGAGAACGTAAAAATATTTTGGGCTAACTCGGTCGAGATGAGGGAGTTTCACCACTGCCTGCTTGGCAGGAGAAATCTTAACAGTTGCTCTTRAACAGATCTGAGCATTGAATAAAAATTATGCTCAGAACTATATATTGCTGTTACACACGTATGTATGTCAGCTCTTTTGCTTACATTTTTTTACGTTTATATGCAAGCATGTGTATTCATATGAATTTGATTTGTGTATATTTATGAATACAGGTGCAATTGAATACATTTTAATTTAATTACTTTTTTAAAGCAATATTTGTAGATAATATGAAAATAAGGTCTACTTTTGCAATTATATCTTGGGGTCTATTCTGTAACTCGATTCGAAACAAAATTTACTCGAATTCGGATTTTTTATATTCCGTAACTCGATTTTCGGATTTTCAAGCCAATTTTCGAATAAAATATTCGTTAGCTTTTGAGTTGTAGAAAGCAAAAACGAAAATTGTACGTATTTATTCTGGCACAGGGTGGTACAACTTTCGAAAAATTATAAAGTTGATCCGATTTTCGTATAGAATACATTTACGAATCGAGATACAGAATAGGGCCCCTTGTATTTGATATATTCATGCTTGTGCGTATACTTCATTATATACATATGTATGCATATAACAGACTATCCCCTGCCAAAAATGAGCGGGTAAAAAACCAGATAATCAGTGGGTAAACATGTGCAGAGGAAGAGTGAGACCTCCACTCCGTTGGAAGGAACAGGTGGAGAAGGACCTGGCTACGCTTGGAATATCCAATTGGCAAACCTTACATACATACATACATATGTACATATATTCACATGTATCGTAACCATCCATATGTGTTTATGTTCGCTTTCGCGAATTCAAATCATATTATCAGTTATCAATAATAACATGTGTACATATGTATGAGCAGTACATAAATATGCTCGCATGACATTGGCACACAAATAATGTATACACCGACTTACATACAGATATGCGTACCCATGTAGATATGTCATCCGCATGTCTGATATTTTTATGAGAAGAAAAAAGACAACCCCGCAAAAATAGGTATTCAAATATATTAGACTAAAATTGACAACATAGTTTATTTGTCGATTTCAAGTTAAGAAATGTGCCAAATAAAATATTCAATATTCCTCTGATTTATTTGTACAGTGAATCCCGGTTAAGCAGAACTCCACTTAAATGAAAGTCATCTCTTAACTGCCCATATCTTGCTACATTTTACGGTTTGTTTTTTAAAATACATAGAGATTATTGTTTTAAATACCACTCGCTTAAGTATCCGCACTCGCTTACGTGCCATATTATATTTTTATTTTTAAGAACCTCAAAAATCTGTATCTTTGATTGTGGCACATTTGTCAAGGAATGCAAAAAATATTTTTACGCGACTTGCAAAAATCTGCGTCGATATGTATGCAAGCTCATACATAAACATACATATTTACGCTGGTTTGTTGGAAAAGCTGTTACAGAGGCAAGGGAAGCAGTGGCAATTGGCAATCGTTCGTTTGTGTTTTCGGCACAGCTTGGATTTTTTACCAACAACAAAAAAACAAAACTTGAGCTTCGCCATTGGTTGTCCGTGTCAACAGAAATTTCGTGTGAAACAATATGCATATGTACATCAGTGATCGGCATTTCATAGCAAAATTTTGCMAACTAACTTCACACGTACGCTTACGCTCTATCGTTCAGTCGTTGTCGAGCCAGAGAATGTATAAACATAGATTTTGTAAACAAAAAAAAAAAAATTTACCATTTTTCGGAAAAAATGGGATCTTGTATAATATCCCCCATATGTATGTGACTCATAGAATGCTTTTTTTTACATTCTCTGTATGACTTTGTACATTTTTCTTCAAAGTATTTCTCTTTACTCATTCTCGCGTGAGATCAGTCGTTTTACATATGTATTTGCCTTTGAACGTGCTCAATTCTGCTAAATAGCAGTGAGAATGGTGAATTCCGTATACAATCCTATAAGCTCCGTTAGCCGTCCAATCGAACTTCATACAGATTTCAATTTGCACCTTCTCTATGTTTATACATTCTCTGGCTTTTGCTTATATTTTTATACGTTTATATGCAAACATGTGTTTTCGTTTGAATTCTTTTTGTGCATATTAATGAATACATGTGCAATTGAATACATTTGAACTAAATTACTTTTCAAAGCAATATTCGTAGTTACATATGTATATAACAAAATATCATAATTAAAAAAATTAAATATATTACAATAGTGATAAATGTACATTAATCTTACATTTTATCATTCAAAACTTATCTAAGTATCACATGTTTCATGACCACCATGTGTTTATGTTCGCCTTCGCGAATTCAAACCATATTATCACTTATCAATAATAACATATGCGCGCTGCTCATATGTACATAWATATGCTCGCATGACATTGGCACACAAATAATGCATACACAATTACATTAGATATGCGTTCATATGTAGATATGTCACCCGCAAAAACTATAAACATTGCTTTATAAATACAACAATCGTTTAAAATAGCATCATACATACATACTTATATGGGATCACATGTAGATATGTATGTCACCCGCATAAACTACAAATATTTTTCTACAAAAACAACAAACGTCTCAAATAGCATCAGCAGCGTCACAAGTCAATATGGCAGACAAATAATCGATGCCCAAATTTGTAGAAAAGTACACAACAATAATATTTTCATTCATGAACGCAAGCGACTTTCAACAGGCAAACTTGCTTCATTCATAAAAACAAACACCATGGCATCTCCCTGAGCATGCCTTTGCCTTGCATGAGATGGAAAAAGTGACAACCCCGCAAATATAAGTATTCAAATATATTAGAATAAAATTGACAACATAGTTTGTTTGTCGATTTTCAAAGTCAAGAAATGTGCCAAAGAAAATATTCAATATTCCTCTGATTTATGTGTACAGTACCGAACCAACGCAAGGTTCGAAAGACAGTATTATATAGATGTCGCTGTTCTGCTTTTGGCAAACTGTTATATGACATCAGCTGTTTATAGTGACAGCAGATTACCCGTATGAGATCAGCTGAGATTCGAAGTGATAATAAAATTTAATTTAACTATATTTTTGTAATTTAAACACAGATCTAGCTGAGTCCGCAATGGAAAAGAATTTCATAAGTGTATTGTTGCTGTAATGTGTCAATATTTTTTGCACTAGCAAATGTTTCAGCAATCGCAGACTACAGTAGCGTGTTTTTTTTTGTTTTGCGATAGTGTTCTACAATTCATCAACACCACTTCGTCGTTAAATACTTAGAATGGATATATCAGATTTTATTATTGGCGGTGCAGCTTCCCTTGGAGCTACATACTTTACAAATCCATTAGAAGTTGGTACCCGTTAGTTTAAATTAGTATATCCTTATTACTCTCATTGAATATAAATAGGTGATAAAGACGAGAATACAACTTCAAGGCGAACTATCTGCTAGTGGCACATATGTGAAGCCTTATAAAGGAGTAATTAATGCGTTTATTGTAGTCGGGCGGAATGAGGGAATAAGTGGTCTACAAAAGGGACTAGTGCCGGCGCTGTACTTTCAATTTATATTAAATTCTTTTAGGTAAGACTGTGTACATATTGGTTGAACAACTTTCTATGAAATATATTTTTCCTTAGATTAGGCTTCTATACTACGGCTATGCAAAAAAAATGGATGCACAAAAAGAATGGTGATGTTTCCTTCCCACTGGGTTTGTTTTGGGGCGCGTTGGGTGGTTGTGTGGGCACATATTTTTCTAGTCCCTTTTTTATGGTAAATTATATAATTGTTCAAATGGTTTTTGAATCATCTTCGAAATCATCTGGTAAATTTGTTTGCTGCGTTCATTAACGAAAAACATCAGAATATTTTGTACAGCTATATGTTTGTACAAATGTGTAATGTTTGTGGCAATTCGCTCTCGTAACAAAAACAACATGCTCGTAGAGTGATAAGAAGTAAATCCATTCACATATAATCACTTGRAAAATAATTTCTCAAACAAATAGTTTATAGCAAAAATTACTCTTGTGTAATGATATCTAATACTCTATGGATTATTTCAGATAAAAACGCAATTGCAATCACAAGCTGCTAAGGCTATAGCAGTTGGCTACCAACATAAGCACACCGGCACTTTCCAAGCCTTGCGCGAAATTTATACTGAGCGTGGTATAACTGGTTTGTGGCGGGGTTCAATGGCTGCTGTACCACGGGCAGCTTTGGGCTCCGGCGCACAAATTGCCACTTTCGGCAAAACGAAGTCTATGTTACGTGACAATGGCTGGGTAACACAACCCACATTGAATTCCTTCTGCGCCGGCAGTATTGCCGGCACTATTATGTCATTGGCTATAACACCACCCGATGTGCTAACTACTCGACTGTACAATCAGGGAGTTGATGCCAGTGGCAGGGGTATATATTACAATGGTTGGCTTGATTGTATAGTAAAGGTTGTGCGCACCGAGGGTTTGCTTGGTCTATACAAAGGATTTTGGCCAAATTACTTGCGCATCGCACCGCATTCTACGTTAGTGCTACTATTTTATGACGAATTAATGTCCATTAGAGACAAATATTGTAGTTAGAATTATAAATGTAATTGACAAGCAACAGAGGCCTTATATGCACGCACAGTAGAAGAAAATAGTGCAACTGTCCATTTAATTAAGCAATATTTTTTATTTTTYTTCCAAATTACTTGTTTTTGTTGTTCGTAAATATGCCAATTGTTATCTCTCATATTGTTCATGTTTAAGCGTGATATTTATAACAGTAGCCTTTTACATTAGTATGCTTGTATTTGTATATAGCATTGYTTAATTTAAAATAAAAAATATTTTTGAAAATAGTGAATATTTACATACATATATAGATGAATGATAATAAAATGATGGTTCTAATTACATTCTATTCAACTTTAGTTTTCACTAAAATTTTTAATAAAACTGCAAAATCAAATCAGATTATATGTATAAAGTGTAAAAAAGAAAAAACGTTAACTTCGGCTGCACCGAAGCTAATATACCCTTCACAGGTGCATTTCTTTTAGTAACTATGCGTCCAGTTTGTATGGAAGCTATGTGCTATAGTATTCCGATCTGAGCAAATTTCTTGGAGATTATGTTGTTACCTTAAGCAGTATTCCATGTCAAATTTCGTGAAGCTGCCACGTCAAATGTGAAARTATTCCATACAAGAACTTGATTCCGATCGTTCAGTTTGTATGGCAGCTATATTTTATAGTTAGTCAATGTCAAAAATTTTTTCGAGGTTTACATTGTTGCCTTASAAAATAAYCTATRCCAAATTTCGTGAATATATCTTGTCAAATGTGAAAGTTTTCCATACAAGCACTTGATTCCGATCGTTCAGTTTGTATGGCAGCTATATTTTGTAGWTGTCCGATATCGGCAGTTCCGACAAATGAGCAGCTTCTTGAAGAGAAAATGACGTTTGCAAAATTTCAAAACGATATCTTTTAAACTGAGGGACTAGTTCGTATATATACATACAGACGGACAGAGGGACGGGCAAACGGATATGGCTAAATCGACTCAGCTCAACATACTGATCATTTATATATGTATATACTTGATAGGGTCTCCGACGCTTCCTTCTGGGTGTTACAAACTTCGTGACAAACTAAATATACATATGTTCATTGTAGAATAAGTGGATTTCACTCTGTGTTAATTGCTTGACGAAATCTTAGCTGTATCCCCACCTCTTCTCAACAAATCTTAATTATTTCCTGCCAACCTGCTTAACAAAGAAATTAAATAATATTTTAGATATACATATGTACATAAATTGTATTAAACTTAATTTGCTATATCTTTTATATCAATAGAAATATATATAAGCGTATCTAATCATAAATACTTGAGTCTTTCTGAACCCAGTTTTAGGTTAATGTAGCGGTATATTCATTATATTTCCGGTTTTCATTTTAGGTCTTGTACTGATTCAGCTTTTAAATTGCTTCATTCAATTGATATAGCTCATACGCCGTGCTATCCTCATGAATTAATATATATTGCCACCACTGTAATCATATGATAGGAAAGATCACACCACAACTTCTCTTAATTTTTTTCTAACGACTATGGTTTAGTTAGATAAGAGCTGCAAAACTCATAGTTAACCAGTGACTTAATTTACTTTATAAAAGAATTTAACTTGAAATTTTAGTGTATCGTTGTCGCTTGACGGAATGGTGGACTTGTTTAGGTCGTTGAGAGATATTTGTTAATGTAAATTATTTGCGTTTTGCATYGCCGAGTGATGGAGTGTCAAGAGCTCTTTTCCATTTAGTACTAAAATACTAAAGTAAACACCGTTGAATACTAAGKAAATCTTTAAATGTGCAATATCTAATTAAACGCCTACGTTCAACAATTCCATATTATGAGTGATTTTATTATCGGTGGTTTGGCCTCTGTAGGAACCATACTATTCACTAATCCACTGGAGGTAATCAACAATATATCTTCTTGTAAAATATGCATAACCCGTGTGGGTTGTCTCTTCGGCAGGTGATTAAGACGCGCTTACAACTGCAGGGTGAGTTAGCCGTGCGCGGGACCTACGATGTTCACTATAGGGGTATAGTGCATGCCTTTGTGACAGTTATCAAAAATGACGGTTGGACAGGACTGCAAAAAGGGCTGGTGCCGGCAATGTACTTTCAATTTACAATAAATTCAATACGGTACTCCTCACTAAATGCCATGCCACGGATACACAATTCAACTGTATATTACTTACAGACTTGGGATGTACAACGCCGCAGTCAATAGGCAGTGGACTCGCACGAAGGATGGTGGTGAATCATTTGGACTGGGGCTTTTTTGGGGCGCTGCTGGTGGTGCAGTAGGCGCCTATTTCGCCAGTCCATTTCTAATGGTTTGTATTATTGACTTTAGTTAGTTACGTAATATATTTTAAAGATTTTGTGATAAATTATTATATGTACGTAGCTAACAGCTTATTATATCTAATCAAATTTGGGCAGTGTATGCTGCCAACCTACTCTTTATTCGCTAATTAATCTCATTACTTCATTTATAGATAAAGACTCAGCTGCAGTCACAAGCGGCCAAGAACGTGGCTGTAGGATATCAGCATCATCACACTGGTATGTTTAACGCCATGAAGCAGATTTATCTAAGTGGTGGACTTGCAGCATTGTGGCGTGGTTCTATAGCCTCCATACCACGGGCTTCAATTGGTTCGGGCGTACAAATCGCCACATTTGGCAAAACAAAATCAATGCTCCGTGAACACAATTTAGTTGTACAACCAACATTGAACTCTATGTGTGCTGCTTTCTTGGCTGGTTGTGTTGTAACATTGGCAATCACGCCGCCGGACGTTATATCAACACGGCTCTACAATCAGGGTTTGGATGCTAATGGCAAAGGCTTATTATATAGTGGTTGGTGGGATTGTTTTTTCAAAATAGCGCGAAGCGAAGGTTTATATGGTCTCTATAAGGGCTTTTGGGCAAGCTACTTACGATTTGCTCCGCACTCAGTACTTTTGCTGGTATTTTTCGATGAACTCTTAGCTTTGAAACATAAGTATCAAATGAGTTATAAAACTGTAAATAAAGCATAGTCGAAATACTTAAACCAAATTACAACTAGAGGCTATACAATTTAGCGGAATCGTGCCTTCGTTTATAAAACGATATTTSCTAATTCGGATATTCTCCATTACAGTTGCGAGAACACTTAGCAAYGTGTGCAATGTACAAAACCATTTATTATGTAAATATTATTAGTAATATGTCAATATGTGTGTAGGTAAAAAAAAAAATCGGTTTTAGGACTAGAATGCACCGTTTTTTTCATTTTAAGGGTTTTAAAAATTAGTTTTTTAAAGTAGCATAAAATATTATTCTATAGTTTTATCAAATTATCTAAACTTAACATTTTGTTCTTCATCTTAAGTCTACAATCAAGAAATCCAAAATTATATGTAGTTACTCCTAAATACATGTTTTTAAACTCGGTCAATATATGACAAGTTGAATTCCTGATGTGGTGTATATCTGTCAATCAAAATTTATATGAATATACTTGAACATTACAATATAAAGAAATATGTTTTCAAGTGTGCTTTAGCTTAATGCCGAAAGCAAATAAAATTACTCCGAGCCGTACCTATCCTTCCATATACGCAGTATTTTTGATTTTCTTTGTATATATGTATCTGACAATATGATTGGTATTGAATTAAAATAAAGTGAACACGTTTTCTTAATCACAATATTTCTCAGTTTTATATTTGAGCGAAATCTGCCCAGACCTGGACCTAAGGCAGGTCAAGCTGTCGTGTTATTTTTGTTCAGATCTTGTTCCTTCTTGAGACCCAGCATACATTACTGAATGATAATCGAATACACGAACACCGTGTGGTGTCGATTCGACGTATTTTACATTGAGATCCTAAATTGAAAGTGTATAAAGTACAGCTTGTGCAAGAACCGCTCGATCTGCCCAAGTGACATCGCTTCGTTCTAAGGGCTCTTGAAAAGTTCCAATCGGCTAATATTTCTTCAAAAATGAAAGAGATGGTGAGAACGTAATCTTCAATAGCGATCGTTATCGCGCCATGATAACCGACTATTTGATGTCTGAAATTGAAGGCCGCGATAATTTAGTTCCACTTCCCTCCATAGCATAAATCAATGGATTTATTGAGAGAACACTTCGGTGACTAGCTAATTGCACCAAAGTTTATGCGGACACTCCCTCTTCGATTCAGACCTTAGAGCAAAAGATCTCGCATCATTCGCCAGCTACCTGAAAATTTAACTCAATCTTAAAAAAATGCCAAAGAATGTTCTTTCGAATGATAACAAACAAATGTTTGATATTCGATGATTCGCTGATATTGCCAACATTTCATATTCGTAAACTTCAAACTCCCCCTACTACTTTGATCAGTCCACGATAGTCATTAATCACGTTAGGTGTACTGATTTTTTTGGCTGACAGCATTATACCTCGAAAGTAAAAGAAATTTTCTTCAATGATGATTAAAATTTTAACGCCGAAGTGTTTATGAAGCACCTTAACTGACGATCCTTCTTGTTGAAGACAAAGATTTTAATTAAATTTTCTTCCAGCATTAGAAAGCTTTCAACCGGCGTTCCCTCATTTTTTACTGTGCCCAAAAAATAAGGCGACATTTGATTTTAACCTGCGCGCGTCGAAGGATTTGGAGAATTATTTTTTTTTTTAGGTTGGTTGTGCTGTCAATAACATTTATGTCAAATTTCATGTCAAAATATTCATTAGTGTTTGAGATACGTGTCGTTTTGTGAGCTGCTAAAAGTGAGTTTTTCGTTTTTTGCGATGTCAAAATTTGTTGAGCAAAGAATTTGCATTAAATAATCATTTCGCCAAAAACTCAACCCATATCGTTCCTCATCCACCGTACTCACCTGATCTTGCGACGTGCGACTTCTGCTGTTCACCAAGCTCAAAAGACTGCTCCGGGGATTCAAGCCGCAGCGAAGACGGAACTGAAGGCCATCCCGGAAAGTGACTACAACCAGTGTTTCGCAGATCGGAAAATCCGTTGGCATAATTTACCACATCTAGTGGGGATTACTTTGAAGGGGATGAAATTGATTTGGAAGAATAAACAAAGAATTTTCAAAATAAATACAATGCCACCTTATTTTTTGAGCACATGTTGATCAAGGTTCAATATATCAGGCTTGGAATTCACTATTATACCGAAATACTTAGTTGCTTTGGCTTTTTCAACTTATTGGAATAACTTTCCAAAGTTTTATGAATGTTTCATAGATGGTTTTTGACAAGTAGCCCGTACTACCTTTGTGATCAAATCTCCTGATGCGTTCTTAAAAAAACATATTTGRTATGCATAATTTGGAAAGTTGTAGATAATTGATATTGAATATGCAGCTTTATGCAGTGACCGAATTTCTCAAACTTAAAAAATCTTATTTTAAGGTTTTTCAAGATCTGTCGTCCTCAGCGTACGCGTCGAAGGCACCTAATGGAAGTCCAGTGTTGGGTCTGGCTAATTAATACAGTAGATGTTATTATAATAAATTAATCTGCAGTGCAGTAAAATGTAATTTACGAATAATGAACTTCACGTTTTTCCCCAATTCMGCTACATTTTTGCCTTTCATATAACGGTTGTTTAGTTAGACTGGCCTACAACGGTTTCATTGCCCTGGATGTAAGATCGCTTTTGGATATATTTGTACCCATCATTCATGAAACTGTCAACGATTAGGATTTACTCTCGTTTATTTTTAAATCCTTTTCCTTTACATTACAAAAACATCACCATCCCAAATACTTTGATACCCTTTTCCACCCCTTTTACATCGTGACGGAGCCGCTCTACACACTTCGTACTATAATTTTCAAATATGTACATATGTACATACTATATATCAGAAAATTTGTCTAAATTATTGCAGAGATAATCTAACTTGATATTTATATTTTCTCGTAGAGTCTGTAAATATTCAGCTATCAACAAACAATTTTTCCAAGATTCACTTTTTAGAACGGTTTATAATTGTTTGATAAAATCTGTATCTTTCCTTAACTGCTGTATTCGAGGACCATCAAGAATTCCACCTTCCAACATTTCCATACTAGGCTTCGTAAGTTCCCTACAATGGTAATTAAAACAATATCCTTCCTTGTCCAACGCTTTGAGAAATTGCTTTATCATAAAGCACCTAGTTCGTTATAAGAAAATAACCTTGGTCAAATCAATCACCCTCCCATTCACTTTCCCTGATAGATTGTGCAGATTTCTGGGAATTTGGCGACATCTTTGCTTCTGGGATCATAAAATATTAAATATCAAAAGTTTTCAAAACAAGGCACRTTCAATACTAAAATAAATTTGTAATTTCGCCATTCGAAAACATCAAAATTTATATTTATTTATTTGACAAGTTTTAACTTTAAACAAATCTACTTTATCCAGAGAATAAATTCCTTGCGCCGTCCTCTTTTAGAATCTTACACGGTGTTAAAACCTCTAACTTCTACAAATCTTTTCTACGTATGTATATTAGTAGCAGTATATAGACGAACAATTTGCTTTTCAAAAATTTAAAACAAGGAAAAATCAAAAAATTTCAAACAATTTTCATTTATTCAAACACTCGCGGTAGAATAAATATTCGATTAGTCGTAACATTGCGATAGATTAGTATTCAACGAAAGATTACAAACCGGATATTCGAATAATCGGTTTTCAGGTTATACGAATGATTTTAAGAGCAGTAGTTATAAACTTTTGAAACATATAAATAATTTGCAAAATTGAGAGATTACAAAATTGAATATAAAATATCTCTTTTTGCCATTCTAAGAAGAGTTTGGTTACGATCCATGAGTCAGTATGTTTGCTTACTATTAGATATTATGCCAAGGTTATTTGGTTGGTCATTTCTTTCGAACTGATGAGCCCCAATCCAGACAAAAGAAAGGCGTGTATTCTTCGCGTTGCAATCTCACCTGCTAGTATGCCTTAGGGTGGCAAAGCAGCCTTAATAATTATGGTACTAGCTGTAAACACAAGATGGGTTCTTTAAAGCGTACAAATCGTAACCACAATTTTTTTATACTCTTCCAGCATCACCCTACTGAGTACTGTAATAGTTTTGTTCACCTAACAATTGTGCATATAATCCTAAATTAATTGTGATAGATAGGTTGACGAGTTGCAATCTCGGCTGTCTCTCATTCGTTCGTATGTTCAAGCGCTAACTTCAGAATAATTAATATCTCGGAATGAAACTAGGTATACATGTTCCTTGACATAAAAGTGAGAACGAGTTTGTCGATAGACGTAATCGGACCACATAACGCCAATAAACGAAAGCCTATAAATTGACATAACTAAGGCAAATAGTAAGATAGAAAACTTTTATTTAGAACAACAAACTGCATAAAGGAACCTGTGGTCTGAAATTTTTTACATTTCTCGTAGTCGTGCCCCTCACTTATTTTTATATATACATGTATCTCCCAGATCATTCAAATTACATCCACCATATTTACAAGACAAATCAAGTCGACAGCTCTTGCGGAAATAGAAGAAATCGGTGTCAAAATTGTACAATGTGTGTGGTATCGCCCACCCTTATGTGAAATCAGATATACATATGTATATGAACCTACTACTCGTATACCGATTTCATCCAAATTTTGTATACACAATTGTTTTTGTTCATGGGCGAAATCGGATAAGAACCACACCTCCTTTCCATAAAACACAATTTTCAATTCCTTCTGATTAATTCACTTTCTAGTATGTATACAATTCAAGAACAAATCGATTTAAACTTTGTGGAGTGCTCAGGGCTAAAATGTGTCTAAATCAAGTCATAACTATTCAAACACCCAGATACCGAAAATGTAGATCCCACAGCACATGAATGACTTTTTGTCGAAAATATCGGTCTATGTGTTAGATAAATAATTGAAATTCAGAAATATTTTTCAAAGCGCAATTTCGGCAGACGCTCACTTATGGTATGGGGCACATTTTTAATTTCTGGGACAGTACCGTTGGCCTTTCTTGCCAAATGAATAGTTCCGAGTACCAGGAAGTTAGAAACAACTCTGCGTCCCTATATGCACAGAATTCCGCAAAAATCTTTCTCTTTTCAACAAGACAATGCAAGAACACATGCGAACTAAAACGTGGCTTCAACGTAAAAATATCGATCTTTTGGAATGCTCAGCTTATTATGTAAGTCCTGTTGGGAACATCAGGGGATGGCTGGTAAGAAAATTTKACGTGGATTATCGTCAATTTAATTGGATTTGTGAGCTGAAAAAAGCTAGTTTGGATACGTGGGCTTTATTAACCCCAGAAAAGCGATCTCATTACACMAACTCAATGTCAAATCGAATATTCGCACTTCTTAATAATAATGRAAAAGCCAAAAATTATTAGAATTTGTTTCTTTTCGACCGACCTACTCTATAATTTTAAAATAAAGCTATATTCCCTGGTTTTAACAACTGCTSCAGAGAAAATTAAAAACTCTTGAGTTTATTGCCTACATGTTGAACTTATGTAAAAAACAGAATATTACTCATACCACATGTCGAACATAATGTTAACTTTCTACTTATGTTAACATTATAACGATCGAATACAATATACAGGTATCTTTGGTTTATTGAAATTTCTCTCCCGGTTTGTTCCTCCCACGCATTATGACTATCATTGATAAGATTGACGGAAAGTATAATTGCACACAGCCGAAGTTAACTCTGGTAAAGGAAACTAATCTTCTGCAAATTCAGTGTATAAGTAGTTGTCGCTAAATAAAAACGAAGGTCTTTGCGGCGCGAGTTCAACAGTGACAAATTGTTTTGTCGGGATATTGATATCGAAAAAACATACCAAAATTAATAAAATTCCAAAGCAAACTTCCTTTATAGAACAAATTGACATTCATTATGAGTCCGACGTATTTTGTGGCTGGCGGTGTTGCTTCTGTGGGCGCCATATGCTTCACCAATCCACTGGAGGTGAACGGACCAATATTTATCAAGTGCAAAACTGTATTCTAAACGATAAGTATTTCCACAGATCGTCAAGATACGCATGCAACTGCAGGGCGAATTAACGGCGCCCGGCACCTACGTCGTCCCCTACAAGAACACTATACATGCGCTCGTGACGATTGTTAAAAACGAAGGTTGGACTGGGTTGCAAAAAGGGCTAGTGCCGGCAATGCATTTTCAGTTTATTTTGAATTCAATACGGTAGATGCAAGTAACGGTTATATACAGTGGCATCACTATAGCAAAGATTGCTTACAGGATAGGTTTTTACCACACAGCTGTTCGAAATCAGTGGACTAGCAATGAAAGCGGTGGAGAATCCTTTGGCAAGAATCTGTTATTAGCCATATCAGCTGGGGCTTTGGGAGCCTACCTTTCAAGTCCATTTTTCATGGTTTGTTAATCCAATATTTTTTATTTTTGATATATTTATAAGAAACATCTGACACTTTCTTTCAATGACAAACAACTAAATATTGGCAGATAAAGACACAAATGCAGTCGGAAGCTCCAACAAAAGTGGCCGTTGGCTATCAACATCACCACACTGGTATGTACAATGCGATGAGAAAGATTTATGAGAMGAAYGGAATTGCCGGATTGTGGCGTGGTTCCTTCGCCTGCATACCGCGTGTTACAGTTGCTTCGGGTGCACAAATTGCGACCTTTGTCGAGATGAAGGCATTGCTGCATGAGCATAATTTAGTGGTGCAACCTTCCTTGAATACARTATGTGGGGGTTTCTTAGCTGGCTTGATAGTTTCAATCACCATTACACCGCCAGATGTTATTGCAACACGTCTCTATAATCAGGGTGTGGATGCGCAAGGTAAAGGTTTGTTCTACAACGGTTGGTGGGATTGTGCTTCGAAAATTCTACGAATGGAGGGTATTTCTGGACTATATAAAGGTTTCTGGACGACTTACATACGATTGACTCCGCAATCAATATTGGCTTTACTATTTTTCGACGAACTAATTGCTCTAAAAAATAGGTTGTAGCATCTATTTGCCGCTGTTGAAAATGTTGCATAGAATTTTATAGGTAACATATTTYAATAAAGAGTTAACGATTACCCAACAGTATATATACAAAACTTGTACTTTTTTGTATATTCTTTTAACAACAATTAAGAATTCACGAATTGCAGTCGAATCGTCTCTAGGAATTAGAAGTATTTTAGTTAAGGCATCCAAATTATTTTCTTATAACAATAACAAAAACCTAACGTAATATGAAATATACGTTTATGTAAGTGTCTGAAAAATACCTTTTCTGGATCCCAGGTGGAGACAACCTGTTCATTCGGCTCAAATCTTTGTACAAGTGACTTTTTCAAGTTTGGAAACAAAGCGAAGTCCTAAAGAGCCAAATCTAGAGAATGGTGGATAGAACCATGTTGGTACCCTAGTCGTGACTTTTGGGGAGATGTGAGAGTTGTATTGGTAGAAGAATACTGTTTTCTTCCCCGGTGAGAGTAGCTCTACAAAAAAAAAAAAACAATGTGCGACCACTTTAAAACTCGTTCCACCAAATTTTGTCAATCGCCATCGAAGCAGAATTGTGATCATATACAACGTCTATGTTTACATAGATTTCGCTAAGCAATTTCGCTTCCAAAAAAAATAGTACAATCATAGATTGCGGACACTAACTCTTTCACACGCGGGCAAAATAAAGCTTTTTAGTCAGAATGRGCAGATGCTTAAGAGCCATCGTCTACTAAAATGTACTATACAAAATTTGATGTTCTCATCTGATATTCGCCAATATCTAAGCTAAGCCGTTATCGCATCGCCTTCGTATGCTGATGTATAAATACAAATATCTTCAAGTTCTTAATAGTTGAGGCTATGTTATAAATTCGAAAAGGCGTTCTATAAYCTTTATACTGGAAGCAACCTTTGAGGTTGAGGAATGGCTATGAGTTACCAGATTTCATAAGCAGGTATTTGAAAAATACTCGAAGGATTTTGGTCTAAACCCCTTTCAAGTATGACTTGCTCAAGAAAGTTAGTCGGATTCTATAACCCAGTATTTGGAGATAGAAGTAGAGCCCAAAAATCTAACTTCTTCTAGTTAAATTGTAATTGAATTGTTCTGTCAGCGGATTCCTCTATGCTGACTCCATAAAAGTCGAATACTCACTAAAATTGTATATTGCGCCGAAAATCTCCTACATACGCCTCGTTTCGACAAATAGAAATAACCTGATTTTAATACATTCAACCCATAATCCAAAATAATTTGTTTCCTTTGCCGCAATGAAAAGGGTAAATCCGTTTAGAAAGGACTAATTTTTATTAAGTAATATTCTAAAGCTATCGTTACCATTTCTATAGGAAGAGAGGCAAATATTAAGTATACCTATAACAGTTTTCGTTTAATGCCGTTTTGTGGTCGTGGCAGTGTTCCTATTACACCCATCTGCAATACCAAACCCCCTTGGATCCAAGGGATATATGTCCGAATTTTAACAAGTCTCACCATCCTGGTCATTTATATATTAGAGGATTCAAACTACCGTTAGGTGCACAATACTGGAATATTCTGTAGTAATATGTCGAAAAATATAAAAATATGTTAGAAAGAACCCATAAAGTTAAATTAGTCTATATAAACTTTTAAAATCGGGTTTTATGAGAGTGTTCAGTTTTTATATAGTAAATGTTTACTATAATTAAATAAATTTACTGTTTATATTGGATATATTATCATCTTTACACTTCATTGCACACATGAGTATTTGTTCTGCATAAAGATAAATCATTTATTATCAATTGTCTCCTTTCCAACTATTGCCCTATTAGGTTTGTTTTATAACCGTTAATAGCAACAAGCTGTCAGGGAGAACAAGAATGCACGTTACTCTAACAAAGAGCAAAATAATAAAAGGGGAAAGAAGCGGGAAACTAAAGAAATTAGTAGAAAAAAGTATCAAAAAGTGTTTTTTTAATAAATTAACAATTTAAAATTATTAATAGAACTATTAATATCAACAAAATCAAAGCAAATGTTTCAAATTCACATGTAAGCAGAAATCTTAATAACTTTGCTCTCTTCTGCCAGCGTTTCGTTTTAAGAAAAACTTTTCCAGCAGAAACTTGGCTTGCTAGTAAGGGCCCGTTCACATACAACTTTGCTSGCTTTCAGTTCGTACTAAGGGTGCTCGCAGAGTGGACGCTTAAAGCCAAGTCGAGCACATTTTCTCATTTACGCTCTGCTCGGCTTTGACCCTAAGCCCTAAGCCAACGAAGAGAAGAAACCAAAGGGTATGCCACAATGAACGGTTTTAATGTTTCTCTCTAATAAAATGGCGACTGTTGCTTGGCAAAGAGTAAAAAGATGAAAGTTGCCCAAAATTTTTCTTGACTTCGCGTCGAAAACTTTTTATGTGAACGTACTCATACATAAACCGACATCGAACTTTTCTGTCAAAATAAATTACAGACACAAGGCGAAGCAATAATGCTATATGAATTAGCCATAACAGTTAGCAGTTAAGTAACAAACCTTTTTATTAATTCTCATATTCGTAGATAACAGTTGCTGTTTATAACTTAAATATTCTGTTCTGATAGCAGCATTGTATAGGTTAGTAGGTTCATACAGTACCTCTTAATTTCATTATAAGTAAATTTAAACAATGGCTAGCTGATTACGTCGATTGAAATTAAGGTAATATTATTTGAGATTTCATTGTGTAAAGATATAATTACATATAGTAAATGTTTCATAGCTACGTTCTGTAACAATAAAAAGATATGGATATCTCTGACTTCATGATCGGAGGTTTTGCCGCAATGGGTGCAATCTGCTTCACCAACCCACTCGAGGTACAAATATAAATAGGGATTACATCAAAAATGCAAATACATTGTAAATACATACATACAGCAATTATATTACATAAAATATATTTCAAAATAAAATTTTGATACTCAATTTAAAATATTTCAACTTTAAACAAAACTATTTGAAAAAGTTTTTATGCTGTGAAAGCAACAATTTATGCCTCGTTTTTTTTTTTCAGGTAATAAAAACTCGTTTACAATTGCAAGGTGAATTAGCTGCACGAGGATCATATGTGGAGCCTTACAAGGGAATTTTCGACGCTTTAGTCACTGTGATAAGATGTGATGGTTGGTCTGCTTTAGAAAAAGGACTTGTGCCCGCGTTACATTTCCAGTTCATATTGAATTCAGTTAGGTGAGTATATAATGCAAAAGATAGCAAACCACAAAATATTTAACATATTTTTATTTAACAACTTAATTTGTTCTAGACTAGGTGTATACAAGACTGCCATGAATAATAAATGGATGCATAATAGAAATGGTGATGTTTCATTTTTTCGCGGTATGCTATGGGGAGCTGTCGGTGGTGTTACTGGCTCATTTTGTGCAAGTCCGTTTTATATGGTGTATAGTTTGCAAATATTTCGCACATAGGTTTGTTTTTAACAATATACTGTTGTTTGCAGGTGAAAATTCAATTACAAGCCCGATCAAATAGCGAAATTGCCGTTGGTTACCAACACCAACACACTGGATTTATAAATGCATTTAGAAATATTTTAAAAGAAAGTGGGTTCTTTGGTCTGTGGCGTGGCGCCACCGGAATGCTGCCGAGAGTTGCGATCGGTTCAAGTACACAGATTGCAACTTTTGGTAAGGCAAAATCAATGCTAGGCGAGTACGAAATTGTCACGCAGCCTATACTGAATACATTAATGGCAGCATTTGGAGCGGGAAGTGTAGTGGCTTTGGCGATTACACCACCTGATGTAATTTCAACAAGGCTGTATAATCAAGGCACTGACTCTTTCGGCAAAGGAATACTATATAAAGGGTGGTGGGATTGTGCTCACAAAGTATTCAGATTGGAAGGACTACAAGGCTTATATAAAGGATTTTGGGCAAACTATTTGAGACAGGCCCCACATTCAACACTTGTGTTGTTGTTTTTTGATTTACTCATTTCGGCTCGAGACAAATTTCAAAGTATCTAAGTATTCAGTGACAATCGTAAACAAAACACATTTAATTTGATTATTTAAATCATACTATTTTGCAAAATGATTGGTATATTCTATATATTAAATTAAATACTTATTACAGTTTTTTCGATGTGTTTTAATGTAACAAAAATATATGTATGAATGTGTGTGATGAATCGGAAAATCATGCTAACTATTATATTATACTCCCTCATAACTCGAACATCAATGTCATACTTTCAATAGAGTTCTATAAAAGAAAAATAGGTAGCACATATGCCATGTCTTACAAGAAAACAGGACACAACAAAATATATAAACGCACATTAGGAACACCTCCAAAGATTCGATGCTTTTAGCAACACATTTCCCTTAACATATTTTGCTTTCACCGTCACCGCCCTCTTACGATATCCTTATAGGTACGCAGTGTGCAGACGATGAACCGGCGAAATAAATCTCCATGCGAATTGCTTACTGAGTTTCTCCTTGTACGCGTACAAAGCGATTCAGTATTGCTAATATACCGGCCATGGCGTTAACACGGCTATCTGTAGGCAGACGCCGTAATTGTTCTACCAAGTGTGCAGCAAATGCTGTATTATCCTCAAAGTCAGTTAATTCCAATTGCAGGGATTTATGTGCGCGATAAGCAGCCGTAAGTGCGTTCTTCTTTGCTTCAGTCATTATTGTGTGTATATTCCTTCAAAGAATGAGGAGGTCCAGAAACTAAACTGTAAGAATGTATAACAAGTGTACACCAGCAAGTAAGATGAATCTATAAATGGGGAAAAAAAGTTAACAAAAATAGTAAAATTAAACAATATTATTCATCTTTTAATAAATATATTACTTTATTTTATTGGACACTTTAAAATTTTCCTTGCTTTATAACAATTGTTCAAACGAGCAAAAATTGGCAAACTTTTTTTTAACAATTCTTCAATTACGAATAGGAACGTAAACAAAAAATGACGTTTTGAAAATGAAGCAGATGACGGAACACAAGTGCTGCCAGGCCGTTCCTTCCTAAACAATTTTAAACAAGCAATGCATAGTTGTGTTATAGCCCT